CCCCTTGAGAAGATGCCATTATTTTTGGACTGTTTCCCTTCTGCAAAGGCTGGGACTTTGTTTGTTTGGGCTTTTTTGTTTTGTTTTTATTTTGGTAGTTTCAAGTCAATTAGTTACCACTAAAAATGTAGACATTGGAATTTGATTGATCTGTTACTGTATCGTGGTTCTTCCTCAGCAATTTGAAAAATTTAAAAAAAACCAGAAAAACCCTAGCAACTGTGTTTCTAAAGTCCTGGAATTTAATAATCCCATGGAGAAGAGCAGATGAGGGTCTGCCTGGCTGGATTGCAGCTTTACAGGATTTGATGTCCTGGTGGTCAACAAACTGAACAAGACTCCACAATCAGTGTGCAATAAAGGTCAAAAGCATTGAGCAGCATTAGAGTGTTACTGAAAGCTCCCAATGCACTGGTCTTGGCAAAGTGATTTTTTGCTTTACTTAGAGAAGTTGTTTATTTTCATCAGACACACTTACAAGCTGTCATGGTTCTTTAGTAGTTTGCCAAAATAAGGTTTAAAAGGGAGTGTCAGTAATATTTTTAACCTTTTCTAGAGTGTTTTAAAATAACTGGGTAATGGAACAAATGCAGAGTGTGAGTTACCATTAAGGGCTTTGGATGTCTTTGAAACCAGGCTGTAAGTCTACAAGTAGCCATCCTATTTCTCATGGGAAGCTTATCAGAAGTTAGTGGTAGGCATTCAGATTTTAACTTTTTAATTAGATACTGATCATCAAAATATTAGTTTTGTGAAGCAATATGAGATATGGGAGGAAGCTGCAGTTGCACAGAGAGGCTGGGGAGTCTCCATCCATGGAGATAGCCTGAAGCTGTCTGGACATGGTACTGGTCAGCTGGTCCTGCTGGCCCTGCTTCAGCTGGGGTTTGGTCCTGATGACCTCCATTCATGCCTTCCAACCTCAGTTTTTGTGCCATTTGAGCACAAATGTGCTTTTCACGATTCGATCAGATTACTCTCAGATCTGAGGTTATAAATGCATTATAAAGTCAATGAAGTTGTATTACTCGGTGGCAAATCATATTTTGAGTTCAGTAGTTGTAGCTGTAGTTTTCCTGGTTTTGATGTGTTTCATGTCTCTCAAAAAAGCAGAATTTTCTATTGAGTGGCTAATGTTTTGCTACAGTGTCTTAAATTACTAATTTCTGACATTCGCTTAATGATGTAATCATACAAGTTTTCATAAAAAGACTAGTGCTGTTGCTTCAGGTGTTCCCCCTTCTCACTGAGTTTTCATGCATAGCTGTAATAATCATTAATGTAATGTTCTCACTTGGGAAATGGCCAGAGGATCCAAGTTGTGGCAGATAAAATGGGGGTGATCTCAGTTCTCACTGCTCCAGGACATGGGAAATCTCTGTAGGCTTGAGCTGTTCTCCCTGTGTGATCTGTCTGATCCCTTCTGCTGCTGCAGGGACCTCAGGAAGATAATTTCTTTCATGGTGTATGTTGGCAGAGACAGAAACACTTGCCTGTCGTTAGGTCAACAGTATCTAAATTGTTACTGATTTTACTGCTTTAGAAAGTCTGGTTACATTGTGCCTTTCTTTAAGACTTGGTGGGGATCTCCCAAACTATGGTTAGAGAGGACTTCATGAGATGTATAAATAATTACACTGAGGTTATTTGTATTGAAGTTGCACTCTTAAATGATGCTGGGTAGGATTTTCTTAGAGAAATGATGAAATGATCATGCCTTTTTAAGCTATGCTAATGTACCACTTGATTTGTGTTGGCTAACAATGGACTTTGGAGTTTTCTTGGTTTTTTTTTTTTTTTTTAGATTTCAGTAAACTCTTAGAACTGCCCTTTTCATCAAGTCAAAATATGAAAATATGTTTTTAAGTAAAGGCTTTGAATTCTTGTCTAACCTGTGATATTTAGGGGTTTTTACCAACATTGTGGCAGGGCAGCATTTCATGGCAATCCTAGAGAGAAGTAGAAGTCGAGACAGTACTAGCGAAAAATTAATTTCAAAAGCAACCCAAGCATTTAATATATTTTACTCCTTACTCTTAGCGTTTCCTTTTCTTGAAGTGAGTGTAAGGAAGTAGATAACTGTACCAAAATCTAATTTTAATTTACCCAAATTGTATAATAGTCCAAAAGTGTGCTGATAAGTGTTGAATGTTTTAAACACTGATCCAAAGAATTACTGAAGTTTATGTAGGATTGTATTTCCTTCACAGTTAGACACAGGTTCAAGCTAACAGCTTGATAACTCCTATATAAACTTAATGGGGCACTGTTGTATTCTTTTTTTCTTTCATTTTTAATGAAAAATTTCCTTTCAGAACTGCATTAACTGCACAAGTCTGGTGTATAACATGAAGAACTTTATTGTCCTTTAAGCACTGGCACTCATGTAGACACCCAGAAGCAATATTAAGATTTTCCAATATAAAGCTTTTTTCCTGATTTAGCTTGTTATTGTTATACTCCTTGGTCTTACTGTCCTGAAAAATCTCTTCTTTCTGAATCAGTGATGAAGAACGCTACAGATACAGAGACTATGCAGAGAGGGGCTACGACCGCCATAGGACAAGCAGAGAGAAAGAAGACAGACACAGAGACAGGAGGCACAGAGAGAAAGAAGAGACTCGACACAAGTCATCTCGAAGGTTGGATTTCTCTTTTTTTAATAGGATATTAAAGACTTGCCCAGTTTAAAAAAAAAAAAAAAAAAACTTTTAAAAGAACCCCAAACAAACAGGAGTTTTGTGGAAAGACTGTAAACACTTGAATGTGCTACTTGGAACAAGTCTGCCGTGTGAAACATGGACAGACAAGAAGCAATACTGACCCTGGGTAACCTCTTATTGAGTGACAGTCAGTGTGTGAACAGAAAGTAGGACACTGGGGAAAGAAGGGTAAAAAAATGGTGAGTCAGAAGAGGGTGGAATGAAGCTGACATTCAGCAGCATGAACAGAACAACTCAATAGTCATTCTCAGTAAGTAAATTAATCCTCGCAGTCACTTGAGAGAAATTGTTCTACCTGACCCATTTTAAGTTAAAAATAAAAGTTAAGTCCAGAAAATGGGGTCAACAAGAATGTCAAATTATTAAGGAATGCCAATAGGTGCATGATGTTGTTAAAAGTCTTGCTATTGGAATATGGGTTACAAATGGGAAAAATAATTCTATTTTTCCCCCAAAAAGTACAGGATGGATAGATGTATGTTCCATTCCAGGAAAAATTCAGTTCTGCACTGACATCCAAAAACTCTGAGTTGGGAGCAGATGCCAGTTTTCAAATATGAATGCAGAAGCTGTTTTTTTGGTACTTTGTAATGAAATAGGACTGAAGTGTCAAGTGTTTGAGACATGTATTCTCTCTATTTAGTAACAGCCGACGTCGTCACGACAGTGAAGAAGGGGATAGCCATAGAAGGCACAAACACAAGAAGTCCAAAAGAAGCAAAGAAGGAAAAGAAGCCAGTGGTGAACCTGCTCCTGAACAGGAAAACACTGAAGCTGCCCCTGTTGAATAGGCTTGTGTGATTTTTTTTGCCTACTTGCATATATATTAGTGCCAGAAATAGATTACTATAAATCTTGTTATTTTTCTGGGAATTACAATAATTTGCTCTTAATCTTGTTCTGTTAGTTTGAAATCAAAGGTTACTTTGGATTTTTTTTGAAAATAAAAGAACGAATTTTTCATGTTAAGATTCTTGGACTGACTTTGTCTTTTAAGAAACAGTAAAACAGTGAGAAAACATCTTACATCTAGAGGCTTATGCTCTTACAATATAAGTAGGGCTTAAATTCTTTGTAATAAATTGTCTCCTTTTTTCATAAGCCAACGGGAAGGTCATTCTTTTACTGACTTTAGAAACAGTGTGCATTCATTTTATTATATACCCAACATCTGGAACAGTGTGGGTTTAGCATAGCTTTTGGAGACTTATTTTGAAAGGTCATCCTTTACTACAGGGACACACAGAAACTTCAGGCTCTTCAAAAGCCTTGTAATATTGTGAAGAAAAAAAAAAACAGGGAAAGTGGGAAAGGTGCCGATTGTTCTTAGTTGAATGGAACACTGAGCATGGTGATGATACACGTGGTAATTATGTCTGGTTTGTGTGGGTGCATAAGGATGAATTAAGCTGGATAATCGTCCCTGCTGCTTTTCAGTGGCTTAAGAGAGAGTTCATTTTAGTCTTTGTTCTAGGGGAACAGCTGCCCTTAACATGATAAAGATTAACAAACATATCCTCTTCCCAGTGTAGGCTTGTGAGATAAAAACAAGGCTGTGGAACATGAGTAATTTGCAGAGAAAGACAAAGGACAATTTTAAAAGACATATAGGACCATCATCACTTTCAGATTTACTTCATGCAGAACAGTATCAAGTGTGATTGATAAGGCAGTCCCACAAAAATTTTACTGCTATTCAAAAGACTTACTTGATGGCATCAGCAGGGTGCAGTGTATTTCCTTAAAAGTAATAGTCTATATAAAAATCCCAGATTTAATAGAATTAATCAGAACAAACCAGGGAAACGAGGTAATTTGGTTTTGAATGAAAATAATGTCTGTACAAGTACACAGTTACAATTATTTTTAATTATTTTAGAAATTTCATTCACAGTTTTACAGACTAACAAACAGTACTTGAAAGTCTTGAAAATACCAGCTTCATGCTGACCATGAAAAGGTACACATAATCAAAGTGCTATTAATGTGTTGGATAAAAACCTTCACCTGATTATTGCAACTAGAAAAATTGCAAGAAATATTTCCATTAGTTATTCAAGGTTTTCTTTTTGTAAATCAAAATAAAGTGGGTGAGCAGAAGCTGCTGCTCCTTAAATTCCATTATTATTATTATAATGCATTAAATAGATATATAGGTATGTATAAAAAAACAACAAAAAACCCTTAAGAACACAGGGAAGGAAGGACTTAAGTCTGTAGCTTGGATCACTCTGAAGTGATTTTCTGACAGGTGTCACTGCTTTGCCTAAACTTGACTTTTCTTGACATGCAGGTTGAAATTTCACAAATCTTTTCTTTATAAATACATACTTTACTCCCCAAAAAAGCAAAGACTGGTGTTCCTTTTTTTTTAAATGTTTTCCCCATGTTAAGATACTTGTCACACTCTCCATGAAGACTTGTTTTATAAAAATGTGCCAGGCCAGGACACAATTGTGAGAGTAATTTTTCCTTTTAGTTCTTTGAGCATCCTTGCCAAGCAGGCATGCATCATTCCTGATGTGTTCCTGCCATTGACAGCAAGGAGGATGTCACCGCATCTGAAAAAATAAATGCAAGACAACAATTAAATCTTAAATGTTTTCAAATGCCAAAGCACATCCTTAAGCTGGGGGAAGGGGTAGAAATGAGTATTATGGCTCCTTCTCTGGCTAACTACTGTTCATGAATAAGGCGATAAAGCAGGTGAAAATATTTCACTTGTTTGGGTTTCTTACAAATTTATAATTAATTCAACATATTTGAAAGAAAACATGATATAGTTCTTCTGACATTCATCCTGGTAATTCACCATCACAGAATCATAGAAGGGCTTCAGGTGAAGGGAATTCAAAGATAATCCAGTTCCAATCCTTGCTCTGGCCAGGGACACCTTCTACTAGACCAGATTGCTCAAAGTCCCAGCCTGCCTATCATTGAATAAGGATGAGGCATCCACAACTCTGGGCAACCTGTTTCAGTGCCTCACATTAAATAATTTCTTTTTAATATCTGGTCTAAAACTACTGTATTTCAGTTTAAAGCCATTGTCCCTTGTCCTAGCACTGCATACCCTTGTAAAAAGTCCCTTTCCAGCTTTCTTGTAGGCCCTCTTTAGGTACTAGAATGATCTGTGTTCTGAACAACTGTACCTTTTAAGCCTTGTTAATTGATGTAAGTTTGTGCCATGATTGTGCATTTACTCTCCTCAAGTGTATTGGTGTTTGCAGGAAAGGTGTTTGGTTGGGGTGTTTAGAACTGGAGATGTGGGAAATGTCTGTGCTGGCATGCTTTGTACCACCCCAGAGATCAAATTGACTCTTTTAACTTACTCACATACTAGTAGATTGATAGACATCAAAACATTCTGCTATGAAAGCAGATCTGTTAAACTTCAGGATACTTGTGTCCTGTTTCCTTATCTCCCAGAGTTACGTCTATATCAGTGAGTCCTTCCCCCGTCCCTGCCACTGCCTTTATGAAAACATGTTTTTTAAAAACTCCCACAGGTTAAACAGAAGAACTTACATAAATGCTACTTTTTTTAGATATTAATCATTACCTAATTCTGCCATCATTATATGCTGGTGTTCCCCCAACAATGGATTTGATAAAGAATGGTTTGTTCCCAGTATGTTCTTCATAACCTCCTACGATGCTGAAGCCAAGACTTCCAGATGTATTTCTTCGTAATACAATTTCTTTGCAGCTGTACAAATATCTGAAATAAACCAGTTTAATTAAATGTTTATAGTTAACTTGAGATTCTGATGAACCACTAATAATGAATCTGCCTTTTCATGGACCCATACACTGTTCTTAAGAGTTAAAGTAGTGCCATATTTCCACTGTATTAAGCACCTACACTTCTGTTCCTGTAGTACTGCTTTCCTGTTACAACCAGATAAGCACTTATCCCAAAAGTAAAATTAGTCTTGGGCTTAAGTATTAAATTAGTTTTTTAATAGGGTAGGAATCTATGCAAATGCTCTGGTTGCTGTGATGGAGAAAAGCACTTAAGCCTGGATATAATGTTTGTAAATCAGCAATTCAAAAAGCTGTATTTCTTTTACCTTGTACACCCCAATGACTTGTTTATCTTCCAGATATGAGCCCATATGTGATTAATTAGGTCAAAGTGCTCAGACACTTAATACTGTGGTGCATGTCAAAGTGAAATAATTTTATGGCCAATGGAATGAACTACAAAAATGACAGATTACACAAAGAAAGGTATTGGTGGAATTAGGGATCTTGAGCTTGTTGAGTAATCTGATAAGTCACAGCATGGAAGATGAAACTTAGCCATGTGAGTCAGTGCTTTGGAGTTCTGAGTCTGCTCTCAAGAAGATAGCTTGTCCTTACTGTAATGACTAACACAAGATTTTGCTGTAAGAGAACTGAAATCTGCTTCTCCCTCCATTTGTCTTTTGAACGTATTTTATGATACTGTATGTTATGTTCATCAAAGCTTAGGTTCCAAAAGTAGGAATAGGGGAAAACTAAGAATAGTGTTGTTAGACTCTTAAATGTTCCCTCATGCTTGGAGTACATTAATTTGCTTCCTTTTTTTTTAACCAAATTAATTCCATTTTTTAGAGAGAGAGTGATAAAAATTTCTGTCCATAGTACTTTACCACCTTATCATTAGTGGTGTCCCCAGGAATGATTGAAATTTCCAAATGTCTAAAAATATATTTGCTACTCCAAATCTTAAAATATAGGCTGACCTACAGCAGGCAACTGTTACAAGCTCTATTCAGAGATATTTTAGGTTTCTAAGAAGCACCTGACACTTCTATAGGAAGATACATAGCCTTTATCTTAAGGACTGATATGCCTAGTGTTTTTAAAATTGCGTTTTAAATAGTACATTTGCTGTCTTTCACAGCATAATACTAGATTAGTCCCCCAGGGCCTACAAATATTCACCTGCTGCCAGGATGGTAGGTATGCAATATTTGCACAAGAATTCACTGGTTGCTAATGTAAGAAACAGGTGACACTTGCTTCTTCCTGAGCAGCCAGGCATTATTACTTTACCATCTGTGGACTTCTTCAACCTGCAAAATCACTTAAACCCTCTATGTTTAATGGTACTTATCAAGGTCATGACCAAGCAGTGCCAGGATTCAGCCATTAGTGCTGTAATTCAGTGTTGATTTTGGGGCAGAGGTCTCTGCTGCCCAGTGCTACACTCACTAAACTGCAGCTGGTCTAAGGAGAACCATCTCCTTGGAAGAGAGCAGCTCATAGTCTTCAGCCTTTACTGCTAAATACTCCAGAAGATGAGGATAAGGAGTAATTTATGTGTCAACCTGCCTCAGATTCAAGATTTGGGGATATATAATATCTAGCCACAGGGTCCTATCCTGAGCAATGCTACAACAAAGCATCGGTTACTGATGCATGAGGAATTTAACAGTGCCTGTTTTCAAGCAGTTAAATGTACAATTCCTGGCTGATTTTCATAAAGCACAAGTAGCCTTATGCTCTAGGAATGAAAACCAGCCCAACTGCAGGAGAATTTCAGCACTAACAGCTATGAAAAGGGTAACTCCCTCCTCCCTCCCCATTACAGTACACAAATGGCAGCCAAGTAAGTAATATTTGAGAATTGTTTCCACCAGCGTCCTACAGGCCAGATTGAGTTACTTTGGAGGTGTTTCTGTCCTAATTTCATGTTTTACGTCTTGTTGTACCCCAGGTTTGCAGAATGACTTTGGCCACCTTGTCTCTTTCTCATCTCACTTTACAGATGAAGAAAAGCACTTGTGTGAAGTACTAATGTTTGTAAATGTTATGACAGGATGATCTAAAAAGTATTCTAAGTACTAGCTGAGGGAAGGAAATGTGAGGAGAGCAAAGAAAGGAGAGCAGGAAAACAAGCAAGGGTAGAAGCAGCACCACAGAGCTGGGGAAATGCTCTTCGCCAGCTGTTCCCTGTTATTTCCTTTGTGCATGCTTCACAACAACAAGTCCCTCTACCAATAAAGGAGTTCTGTCTTCCTAAACAACAAACAATTAAATTAGTACCCTGAAATAAGTCTTGGGGCGAGAATGCTTGAGGTCCTGCATCACTGTTTCCTCCCGCTGCCCAGCCCGCAGCCCCTCTGCTTGCATGCAGGCCAAGTTTTGACAGATGTCAGATGCACATGTGCACGTATTTTATAACCACCACATATTGGATCGTACTATAGAAAGAACAGAGGAGCTGTTTATGTATTATTAAGCCATACAAAAGTGGGAGAACCCAATTCTAAGAACTCACAAGAAAAGGACAAACTAAGTGAGATCCATAAATGTTAAATTAGCAAGATGGCTTTTCCAAGTCTTTGAGCTTTGGTGCAAGGGATCAGATAACTTGTCTGATTCTGCTGATACCAACTTCATCCAGAAAAATTATATCATTCCCTAATTCTCAATATTTGTGTCTCTTGACTGTACCCATCTCTGTAATATGCATGCAGTCCCTGGGAAATGAAGAGTTCTGTTCTAGTATTGAAAATCAGGCATTTACAGTTATCTACTTTGAATCTTGTAACTATTATTAATGCTAGCCTGTTTTCTACTTCATTGGACATGGGCAGAAGTTTGTAGGCATGCTCTAGTGTTTAGTCAACTCAGCACATTTTATGGTACCATTCACGGGATTTTCCTCAAAATTTCATGGATTTGGACAAAGAAGGAAAGACTCTCCCGCCCCCTCGGTTTCTTAAGCCTGAACATCCCACTCGAAATTGTGAGGTCAAGCTGCCTCTGAACACCCCACCTTGCTTGCTTGCTGAACAAATACACAGACTGCACTGCCAGGGCTTGTCTTGAGCCACATCCTTCCCTTCTCAAAATAATTTAAATAATCTACTATCCAGCTCCCTCTTTTTTAAACCATGCCTGTTCCTGACCTACCAGTTTTACTTCCTTTTCTATTTCCTCAATTTGTCTTATGTAGGGTTGCCCCTTCTGGCCCATCTTCCCAAGTACTTTGCACGATCCTGCATAATAATGATTTTGACATTTCTACTTTTCCATTAGCTGTACCAAACATTCTTAGACTCACACATCTTGGAACAGTCCTTCTAGTAAATTGTTTTAATTAAAGTAGGTGATTCTTCAACATTTTACCCCATAACTGCACTTCAGGCACTTTTTTTCAAGGTGGACCTGTCAGACATCTATTTAGACAGAGCATAATTTTCTCTAACAGCCCGGAAAATGTCATGCTGACAATATCTTGGGACCTAGTGAGATGTGATCCTTGCCAAAAGCAAACTGAAAGCCAGAGAAAGGTTAAATGCTCAACCTGGAGAAAAATGAGTTAACATGATACACATCCTCATGAGAGAACTTGTTGAAGGACTTTCAGACATCTAATGTGGGCCCTGAAGAATCAGAACAAGAAGTGAGCGAGCACAATTATGCTGGGGAAGACTGAAGGGTCTGCTAATACCTAGTGAGCAATCCCAAACCTGATCCTCTTGTGCCCCTACTCAGCCAATCAGCTGCCAATAAGAAAACAGAGCACCTTTGTTACTGTCACATCTAATGTGCATTGGTCCCTGTCCCAGGCGCTAGTCTGATGTTCAGAGCAGTGTCCCCACTCAGCATACCAATATCCCCATGTCTCTTTGAAGGAGAAGGGCCATGCTGTGCTCTGTGCACGGCCTCACAGCTGGGGATGGAGTTACAATGAGCTCTTGTCTTCAGCCTTGCTGACACTGGGGCTGATTTCCCTTCAGACGAAAAGAGTTGGAATGCCTTCACACATGCAGCCTTCAGAGGAGGAAGGCTAAAGTGAGCTCAGAAACTGTTTCTAAAACAGGAAAACCCATTTTATTGCCAAACTGCGAAGTGGAACTGACTGATGTGAACTCTGAGTGCAAGCCTGCAGTACTGTGGAGCTCTGTCCTTCGTGTCCTCTACCATGCTGAGGTACTGGGAACTTCAGGCAGCTGTGAGTAGAAGACGATGACCAGGCAGTTCAGGTTTTCTACGCAGCCCAGTGAAGGTGACATAGGCAGGGTGTGATTGTTTCAGTCCATCTAGCAATGGATGGTGATAGAAGGCAAGACTCAGCACTGCAGACTGCAGCATCTATAAGGCCTCTGGTCTGTTGCTGTCTCTTCACTGAGAGCATTACCTGTGCTCTAGTACCTTCACCGTGGTGCTGCTCAAGCTCAGGAGCGCAGAAGTTAGCAGGAATGAGGATCTCCTTGGGCCTGCCTGTCCTCAGACACTGAGTGAGGAGAATTTACCATTGCCTGGGGTAGCAAGTTAAGGGGTATCCATTTACTGCATTTTCTTTTTACTGCTTTTCTTTCACAGGTATAAAGATGTAGTCCTCCCCAGTGGAGGAGGAACATTGTGCCTGCGGGTTACAGACACACAGCCTGCCTCCTGCTCTTGCAGTGCTTCAGCACATGTTATACAGTCATTAGCATCAGACCAAGCCTCAAAAAACATCTGGCCCTCACAGCAGACCTTGCTGCAAGGTGAATGAGGTCAAAATGGCTCCAGCTAGAAAGAGAGAAACCTGTTATGCAAGAGTAGGAAATGAAGAGGAGTCCTGAAACTGTGCCTAGAGAAAAGCCCACCTGTTCTGCAGACCATCTTTTCCTCCCCTCCTGTAAAAGAGAGACACTGAACTGCTGCCAGAGTTAGGAGTATAGTCAAGAAGAACTTATAGGATAAATCCTTAATTCCTTAAAACTGAGTGTCAGCTTCAAGTCTGTGATGCCAGCTTTGCATATTCACAGATTCACAGTGTGTCCTCATTTCATTCTGTCTGGAATGTCCTGGAAGCTGTAGGTATTACACCGTGCACACTGAGAGCTCAGCGACAGCCGATGTGGCTCCAGCTATCCTTGCTGAAACGACAACACAGCTGCTTCCTGTGTGTGACAAATGGACTTCTTTCAGGCGGGGGTGGGGTTAAAAGAGGTGATTTGGAGATACTGGCCAACTGCACGAACTTTGCAACATCTGGGTAAAGTCAAACAATTCAGCTGGATTTGGCAAAGGAGAAGGGCTGTGCAGCTTGAGTGTTGCAGGAGGGGTATCTGCCTTCTGCAGGGTGGTTGAGCCTAAACTCCAGTTCAGCAAGCTCCTGTATCCCTGTAAGATTTTCCTTTCACTCCCTAAGTGCCAGATATGTTTACAAGATTGAAACAATTCAGCATCCTATCCTCCCTCATGGGGGAACTGGATGTCTATTTTGCCATGTACACATACCCATTTACAAAAGGGAGGTATTTGGAGTCAAGTCAGTGACAGAGCCTGGATTTAATTAAGATGTCAGTGAAATGAATCAAGCCAAAAGAAAGCATTGCCAGAAAATACAAATCTTTCCTCCCACTCCCCCTCAACCAGAGGTTGCAATCTGTGCACTTACCGTGGCAGCCCCAGCCACATAACCCAGGACGGCGACCACTCGCTGCTCTCAGCAGTCACTTGTGTGTCCTCAGGGGGTGGGAGGTGACCCTGCTCCTCCTGGGCTTCACATGCTCTCATCTCCAGGGCTTTGAGCACCACTGAGGAGCTGGTGTTCTTCAGCAGGGCGACGGCCTCGCTCCGGCTGACTCCCGTCAGATCAATGCCGTTCACGTTCAGCAGGATGTCACCTGAGACCAATACAGCAGATGATTAAAAACCCTGCAAGTGTTTCAGGATCCCCTCCCCACCTCCACAAACAAGTGAGTCAAATCCATGGCCAAGAACCGGCAGCCTGATGAGGTTTTTTGTTATTCCTATCGTTTAACAAAGCATACGCTAGTAAACATGCCACAGGCATGAGGGGAGATTCCTGTACACAGAAACCTTGCGTGGCTGGACAGAGGATTTGTCCTGGTTTCTTTCCACGTCATCTCCTGCATCTGGAGCTGAACAAACAGCTGGGGTCCTGCTGTACCAACAAGCTTTGGTACTGGTGCCTAGTACTGCTCTGGGTCTCTGGAGTCCACTTCCAGCTAACAATATTTGTACTCAGCCTAAGCTTGAAACCCCACAACTCAGTGATGTTTTTTCTCCCAGCTCTCCCTTAGCAGAGGCCTGCCACTCCAACTGGCTCTTCCTAGTTTGCTTTGTGGAATAACATGTTATTATTTTCATATTAATGGCTGTTTGAATGGCTGCAAGCCAAACCATTTTTCTGTATGCCTTATTTATAATATAGGCACAGCAGCCACAGAGAAAAATGCAAAGATGACCTCAATTACTACAGGAAGAACAATAAAGACATCACTAATGTCATGCAAGCAGCCTCAATGCCAAGTGCTCTGCAACCCTTCAGAGCAGGCTGCCATGCCAGGGCTTTCCTGGGTGCCCTCTATACTTGGCCTGGATGCTTCTCCAGGCAGAGATTTATCACTGTCAGTCCAGGCACTGCAAATGAGCATTAATCTCTTCTTGTTGTCTGTCCCCAATAAGAAGGACAACAGCCTAAGAGCTGCTCTACATCAGAGACCTCTGGTGCTATTATAACATCACATATTCATTTGTTTCTAATTTTATCAAATTAACTAGGCTGAGTTTTCCATGCTGCCTCATGATGAATATATTTTGGAAAGTGTACTCCATTGAGAGGCATTCATCTCCCAGCAGAAGGAAAGGGGAAATCTGCTGTTTTGCTCCTGTTGTTGTGTTCTCACATGGGTTTCACTGAGTAGGCACAAAGAGGGAGTTCCCATGTGTGCCAATGCTGGGCACTGAGACCCAGGCTCCTGGGGTCTGACTGGGTTGCAGCTATTCCGCCCCATTTTTGGGTGCCTTCACTTCCCTAAAACTCAGGATTTCCCTCCAGTTTCCAGGCAGTGACTGGACTGAGGAAGAATATAGGGGATGAAGGGTAGGTGAGCTGTGTCATTGCTGGATGCAGGCTACTGAGGGATCTGGCTCTTGAGGATGTAACATCCTGAAACCTGAGAGTTTCATCTTTCCTCTGCTGCCCAGCTATTCCCACAAAACCAACTGATAAAATATGGTCCTCATCTTGCTCTAAAAGCTTATTCACGCAGAAGGGGAGAAACTATTAGCTTTATCATTCCGTGACATCAGTAGCTAAATGGGGGTAGGAAGCCACTATTTCCAAACATGAGGCTGAGCCACAAGGCATTAATATGGCTTCATATACAATGGGAATTTTGATCCTGTATATTTAATTCAAATTAATGAATGCAATGACAAATAAGCAAAAAAAAAATTACTTTGAAAACACATGAAGGTTGCACAAATAATGTACCAAGAGTTAGGAGAATTTTCCTGTGAAAAGGTATTTATCTTTTTTTTACTACCAGAATATTCCTATGTCCTACTTCACAGAGATGATTACTGCTGTGTATTATGCCTTTTCTGGTAGCTGACTTGAGATCCTCTAATCTGACACATCCCAAAATTGATAGGATTGCTGAAGATGTCAGAGTGTGAAGCTCTTTCACTATCCCGCAGTTTTCAAAAGAAGCTCTTCATTTAAGGCAGGCTTTCAAAATCCCCCTTTTTACCTGTTTTTATCCTGCTGTCTCTGCTAATCACTCCTCCAGGTTCCACACTTATCACATAGATAGGCAGATCCCATTCTCGGTTCGATGCTCCACCTGCCACAGTCATTCCCAGCGATTCTGTGTGATCTTTCCGGACAGCCACCACCTTCTCGTGACAGGTGACAGTGTGAAGGGTGCTCTGTGATGGAGAAAATAGCAACAACAAACACAGTTTGTGGGCATGGTGACCTCCCTGACAGTTTTGGCATTTTCTATCAAAACAAATATTCATGGAAGTAACACCAAGACACTTCCCAGCCACATGGCCTGATGGCCGGCAGGACTCCCTCAGGGGCTTGAGCATCTGCAGTCAGAGCTACCACCAAGATAACTGTGCTTTAATAGTTAAAGTCAGGCACTGCTCCCATGAAAACCAGAGTTGTTTTAGTCCTAAGGCCAATAGAATCAGGTCCTTGAAAAGTAAATAAGAAATTTGATTTTAAAAGAAAAAAAAGTTCTTGATCATAATATCGCTACTGGTCATCATATCTTTTACTATCAGGTTATGCTTTGTATCTTGCTGCTTGCAGTCTGAGCATCATCTGTAGTTAGTGAGAAATAGTCCTCTTGGATTTGAGGAATGAAACCATTGGGGACATATTAGAAGAGACATATTTCATTTGATCTTCCAGATGTCTGTGTTTCTATGTAAGTTATGGGTGGAAATAGACTTGAAGAATAAGTGTTTCTGTTCAGGAAAAGAGAAGGACATTTACAGTGGAGAGAGAGCAGTTTCCAGGGTGCTCTTAGTGCTTCTGCTCGAAGGGTCAATTTGGGACAGCCGTGCCATATATTTCTGCCTCTGAGCAGGAAAAGTTAAATACACACAGCTGGTCATGCAATAACTGGTGCATGAGTGAGGGTGCAACAAACCTGAGGTGCCCTCAGGATGGAGAACCACTGCAATGCAAGCTCCAACAAAACCTCTGAACTGAATGCCATGTTTACCATGCACTCAGTTCTTACAGAAGAGTTTGAAAGGCAAATAAATGTGGACTTAAATGTTAATTGCTTTGCTCTCCCTAAGTATTTCCTAAGCAGTGCTCCTGACATCAATTCCTGACAATCCCAGTCCTTCTTCCAGGAGCAGCATTATCCACTCCAGGCTCCTATATAATAGCATGCTTCTAAATACATTTCAAATGCATATTTAAAGGATTCTTCTCATTCACAAATGTGACCTCACATTTGTAATATGCAAAAATAATCTATAAAACTCATTTAAAGCCACATTAATCTCTTAGTAATCTGACATCTCACAAAGACATTTTACATTGATTCCTGGGCCAGCAGCATGGAAAGTGGAGCAGATGAATCCACAATGCCTCCCTAAGTGACAATGATGGGACAAAGGAAGATTATGACAAGAATTTTTTTATGGGAATAGGACAGACTACGTCTTTGATTTGTGCTTTCTTTTAAAGGTATGTTTGGTGGAACTAACTCCACATCAAGATTTCTGTAATGCAATGTTAACAACAGAACACAGGACCTCCTAAAAGCTTAGCAAAGGACTCCTCCATGCTTGAGCAGATGAACAGCAGCTGCCACAGAGCTCCAGAAACAAAAAGGCAAGGAGCTTGGTGGAAAAAAGAATTCTCTCAGTCTCTGAAAGAAAGCCAAACACAGTTGTTTGGACATATTAGACGTGGTCCATGCAGAACAAAGGCACTATGTCACAGCCATTTTGCTTGGGGCTTGCAAACAAACCTATAAATTTCTGAAGATTTTAAAACCTTCAGAAAATGTTCTCTTCCTGATAAGTTTTATGTTCTGATTCAGATAATTTTAACCTTTCACCTTTGTCTTTAGGGTGTAAATATTTTAAACATAGTAGTTCTATCTTTATGCAAATTAATGTTTCATCCATGTTTTGCAAAAATATCCTTTTTCCCTTGAAAATGAATGGCTTTCCATCAGGAAAAGGCCACTTTTTGAAACATGTGTGATAGGGGGCTACTAATTTTCCCAAAATTGTGATCTGAAATTCTGTAGCAAAACATGAAATTGGGATTCTATTTTTGGCTCTGAGTGAGAGAGCAGTCCTGTTACTTATGCAGCATACATCTCGGACAATAAAAACATTAGAGCATTAGCCAGTTTATCACTATTTTTTGAGGAATCAGCACAGAGAGGAAAGATTTCAAAGTACTGCTTGGGAACAAATTGTCCTACTACATTTCAATGAAGAATTATAGAAGTACCATTACTTGTATGCTGAACAACAAAGAACCAATTTTCTTTTGAAGCTACTCTTTCCCAGGTCATTTTTATATGCCTGCAGAGAGAAAAGATTTGGGGCAACTTGACTGAGAGGAAGGCAGTGATGAAAGGAAAGTAAAGCCTTTTTTAGTAAACACACGTAGAACTTGCTTGGAGGTACGATCGATAGCAAGTAAAGCAGTTAAAAGGCAGTGTTTATCAGTGACTGCATTTCAGTGCATTCTCTTCTAAACAATTGTCCTTCTCTGTCATTTTGAACCGACCTTGGAGGTCAGGAGAAGAAAAACATAACAGTTCATCTCCTCCTCTTTTTATTTTTTCCTCCTTTTCTGTATATTTATTAGAAAATAAATATTTACAGCAGATTATCACAATATCAAAGCCATGACACGTGTCTTGCAGGCAAAAAACATTGCTGTGTCTGTTTGGAAAATGTACTTTACCTGAAGGTTAACCTGTTCATTTGGTCAGGAAACATTGCCTGCTCCAGCAACATTTTCTTTGCCCTAAGTACTAAACAATTAATTTGAAAGAAATAAGAAAACAGTTCCAATTAAAAACAAGTGCTATATAATTAATGGCAAAGCTCCCAGTGACTTCAAAGGAATTGAATCAGGCCCGTTTATGTGTTACAGCCTGGCTTCACAACCTCAGCTGCACAAGAAAGTGTTTGTGACATCTCTTCTCTGAATCCAGGCAGCAGCCAGAACACTTTGGGCTGTGCTTCCCCAATCTCTGTACAGGGGAAAACAGATCCATGAGACCCTGGGCAGGACCAATCTCTTGGCACACCATACACCTGGCATACACCACCAGAGAAGGACATGGTCACAAGAGATCATCCTCTTCTTACCCAGAGCCTTGTGGGCAACACGGCTGGTCACCACTGGCCTGAAGGAGAGGCACCTCCCTGTCACTTCCCCACACTGTACAGATGGAGGCTGGCTGTCCTGAGGCCAAGAGCTTGGCCCAAAGTGGCTCCTGAGCCACTGCACAAGACAGATGGCTGCTGGAAGCTAGAGCTTATTCTTGATGGAAGCTAGAGTTTATTCGTGATGGAAGCTAGAGTTTATTCCTGATGCTGAATACAGCCACAGGCTGAGAGCAGATTTCAGCCCATGTACACATACATGCTGTACAGGGAGAACAGTTTCACTCAAAGAGAGCATTCTTGACCATCTATTATCACTTTCCTCAGTAAGCTCAGGGGACAAAAAATGCCTTAAAATTAGCCAGAAATCAAGGCAGCTAGCAATCCTCTATTAATCACATGTAATAAAGCAATCCCACTGATAGCAGTAGGCAGCAGAATCATCAGACCACACACACATGGGAGACTCCCCTGACAGTGAGGCCCAACCAACAAGCACTACCTTGGTTTTTGGGCAGAAGCATGTCATGTACAGGCCCTAGGTTTGCAAGCATTGCTCCTGCAGTAATGCCTGCTTAAAATAAATAAACATTTTTTTAATCTTTCAAAGCCAGTTTAAAAATCTTGAATTGCAAATTATGTTCAGTTAAACCTTCAGCAAAATATCATGAAATATTTAAACTGACACAGTCATGCCCTATAAAAGGGCAACTAACACTCCAGTAATGTTTGTATCAGACCAAAAGTCCACAGTGCCTGAAGCTCATTGTGTCTGCTGGCTGTACTGATCTGCTGATCTACTGCCAGAGCATTTTCTCTGATAGAAGCCCTCTACTATGTACACACAAAGCTAAAGGGAGGTAGAAACAGTTCAGAATTTTCTTTTTTTGCCTGTGATCTTCCCTGGAAAGTGCCCAAATGGTGGCATTGGACAGAAGCCCACGGCAGTACACCCACTCATGTGCTTATCCAGCACTCATCTCTTGTGGAAAACTGGAAATCCCCTTAAAAGCTGTGGTCTATGCAACAAGAGATGATTCCTTAGTCTTTATAGCACTTGCTCATTAAAGGACTGTTCATTGTGCCTTCAATCTCACAGCTACCCAAAATATTGTGGGACTTACCAAGAGCTCCCATCCAACATCTCTTGGTATAGGAAGAGAAAATGAGGATCTCAGGGCAGAGAGAGACAAGCTCTGTTCCCAAATAATCCCGTGAGGTATCAATTAATTACTCAGACCAACATGGCAGAGTTAGCAGGTGCTTGGATCATCCCTAAGAAGAATGCAGTACCAACACAAGCTAATTGCTGTCCTACACATACCTTCCTAAGGAGACCATTGCTTCAGTAGAAGGTCATGCCTTGCAGATGCATCATTAGTTGGGCACTACTTGCTTGTAGCTACTGAACGCTGCCTGCTTGCGGTTTTAACTCCTGCTAATCTGGTCCCACCTAACAAGAGCTGTGATTGCGACTTTGTGGGAAAGGAAAACTAAAAATACATAAATATACACTAGAGTTTTTAACACATAAAAACACTGAATAATGTAGTTTTAAAAGACCCGCAAAAATGGGTATATTTTAACATTTGTAAAATCCAGAGCTAGACATGTCTCCTGGCTGACAGCTGTGCACCAGATATTTGATCCAAAGGTCCCTCTAAGGACACAACTGGCTATCCATCAAGCAGGATGAACTTAAGCCCTGCCTGCACACCTCCCTGATACCCCCTGGCACCCGTGGCCAGGGTCAAGCTTGCATGGGTTTGCATAAGTGGTGACACTCAGGGTGATTAATGTAAATTAGCCAGACATGTGGCTTCAAATTTAGTGAAATTAAAAAAAAAAAAAAAAAATCAGTTCCTCCAAGGACATGCCTTGTTCTGTCTAAAGTGGAAAGAATAACACTGAGCAAGCACAGAAAACATATTTTCAAAACTCTAACTGCATTGGTTCATACTTAAAACCTCCTATGTTTGAAGATCAGCATCTCTCTGCCTCAGGCAAAGAGAATATTGTGAGTGTAGATGCACGGAACACGCACTCTGGCCAGGTACACAGGGACAGCTGGGGCACAGTGTGGCAATCACAGCCTGATCTGGGTGAGATGGCTGCTCTGTGCTGTGTCCCTGGGTGCTGCACACCAGCAGCCCTTGCACACCCCACACCATGCAAGCTCCAGGTGCTGCCAGAGCAAAACAAACACGCTTTGGGTCTAAAGCTCCACAGAAAGTCCTTGTGCTCTCAGCAGCCAGGGCATTTTAATAAATGAGCAACAGCCTAATGATGACCACAATTTTCAAGTAGGTTATGGGAATTTTTTAGGCCAGCATGTGAAAGCTTTTTGTCTGAAGACTATGCTACAGATGGAAAAACTTCGGAAAAAAATTTCTTTTTGTTGGAGCTCATTGTCCTCTGCAGATTCCCACTGCTGGTCAGACCTGTGGTCGTGGCCAGGACACTGTGTGCACATCAGCACCTGCCCCAGCACGGCCCATTGCCTTCTCTTTCCCTCCCACGCCAGGCAGAGTCAGGGCAGAACCAGCGGACAGATAATGAGCGGCACAGCCTTTGTGTTTCCATTGCCAAGCGAGATGTGCTTTTTCTGGTGGCAGAAGCCAGAGCAAACACCCTCAGACACAAAACACTCCCTGCCCCCCCGTTCCCCCGCGCAGGGACGGCAGGCACCCCACACAAGAGCCCTCACCTTGCCGGGGCCGCTCCTCTCGGCGGGGCAGGGCTGGGAGCCCCCGGCAGCCCAGCCCGTCTCCTGCAGCAGGTCCGGGGGCTGCTGCCGGCTCTGCCGCGACACCACCAGGTGAACCTGCTTCTCGCTGGCCTGCGGGGGAGCACACTGTGAGTCCCACGGCCCCAGCGCTGCGAACCCCGCACCTCAGCCCCACAGTGCCTGGGAAACGCAGGAACCACTTAAACGTTGGTTGGATTTCCCATTAATGAGGTTGCTGTGACATAAAGCATGCGTCAGTTCAGGTCAGTGAAGTTCATTAAAGTTTACTGTCTGCTACTTAATATTTTTCTTGAAAATTTGGTGTTAACTCTAAAAAATCCTTCCTACCTGCCCCAAATTTGGCTGAAAGTAGTGATCCACCACAGTGCATTCTGGTCAGCTCTCTTCTACACCTGTGTATACCACTGCAAAGCAATACACAGGTGTATACCATTGCAATTCTCCTGCCATGGTAGAGAGACAGGCAAACTACCAGAGCTGTTGCTGCTCAATGGATGGAAAAGCTGAAAAAGCTACAATTAACCCTGAGACCAGGGATGTGCGTAGGCCTTGCCCAGTGGAAGTGAGGAATAAACGATGTAATTAAGTCCACCTGCATGCAATGAGAATGACAAATGTAAGGAAGCGTAAAGAAAGGGAGAAAAGGTATTTTCTTTAGTGAAATAAAATCCTACTGAAGCAGAGCACAGAGAAAGAGGGTGGGCATAAGCAAACACACAGGGTAATGAAGTTTAGGATGGGAAAGCAGCTCACAAACTCTCAATCTAGGAAGAGCGGTTTCAAAGCAAATAACCCAAGCTCAAAGAACTTCTAGGCCTTTTTTCATAATGCAGTCAGAATACTTGTGTGCTTGAGAGATGCTGCAATGATACTTCTGAGATTATGTTTGTTTGTTATTTTTAAGGGGCTCTGTGTGTGTTTGCCTGATATTAGTGTTAATTCTGTGTACAGGTGGGGGTTTTTCTATCTTATTGAACCATCACTGTTTCCCTAGAAGCAAATGGCTTCATTTGCCCCTCACTGAGGCTCATATGAATCTGTTCAAGACAACAGTGATGCAAAGATAAATCTGAAAGGGAGTGGGATTTACCCAGATAAATCATAGATGCCTGCCACAAACAAATACACTAAACTAAAATGAAGAACAGTGTAGCAATAACCTCAGTGCTATAGAAGCATACTCAGAAGATGTAAAAATTATTCCTCTAATCTCCTTCTCTCTAGGCTAAAGACCTTGCTGTTTTGCCATGAAGGAGGGGCTCTTAATGACCAGTCTGCAGAGGAACTCCTGCCTGCTGGCTCTCAGCTTATACCAGAGGAACTGCTCAATATCCAACGTGGAGCCCCCACAAACACATCTGGAGCCTGATGCCCTGGGGCTGCAGCTGCAATGCTTGGTGGCACCACAGCCCAGGGGCTGCAGCTGCAATGCCTGGTGGCACCACAGCCCTGGGGCTGCAGACCTCCTGGCTTGCTTGCTAGCACTGCTCACTGGGGAGAAGCTCCAGGGAAAACTGGCATTGAAAAAGCAGCTGAAAATCAAACACAGATCCAGTTGCACTATTGAAATCAAATCTCCCACAGACAATTAACAGAAGCCAGAGGAAGCTTCTGGGAATTTTGTTTTTATAGCTTTGTTTGTCCTTTCTGGAGTTGAATGCAATAGCTGTAGCTGAGAGTTAAAAAAAAGCTTTGGAAAAATGTCATTTTAGTTAAGAAAAGGCAACCTAACTTTCCTAAACCTCCAACTTCAACTTCGAAATATACATGTTCAAGACATGCTATTTTCAGTGAAGTAAAAGATGTGCATGTCTTTGTTACTTTCCCAATACCTTGGGGGATGCTTTTTTTTTGACTAGAAACTCAAATCTTCACAGCTTCATAATATACAATTTAGTGCATACACACACATTTCAAAATAACTTTCTAGGCATTTTTAACAGAACTGGTTTTATGGAATAATAATTCATGGACTCTGGACTCAACTGGTACCCAAAAGTAGAATTCTGTATATTGGGAGAAAAGAAACCATCCTGGACCCCAGTTTGTTATATGACTGAGGTGGAACTGAACAACACGAGATAACACCTCCCAAGGGCACGTGGCCCTATGAAAATACTGTTTTCTCTAAAATTAACAGTTTCAACTTAACACAACTTCTTTTTGAAATGTATCTGCTGCCACATGGTAAGCCTCAAAGCTGGTTATTTAGAGAAAGGTTGTAAAACATGATTAATTCTCAAAGAACAACTAGCAAAAGTTCAACAAGAGTCTCTGTTGCAATGGCACATTTGTCTACAGGCCAGTCAAGCTGAGTTTCTCAGAAGTCAGAGTGGTTTAGAAAGTTATCCAAACAACCAGAACAGCTTTTATATTTACATACATATGAAAACCCATTAATGTTTCTACTGATCAGATTATTTATTGCTGATTCATTCTGATCTCTTCCCTCCCTCTTACCAGTGGCTTTTCCCACAATTGTTTCTCTGTATTTCATGCTGAAGTGAAAATTAAAGAGAGGAGGTGAGCTTTGATGCCAAGTGCAAGTAAGAGCTGAAACACTCCACTAGAATTAAAATCTGTTAAGAGCCAAGGCAAATCAAGCAGGAAGGCAGAGACACAAGGCAAACTTCTGAGCATCTAGTGGGTAATTGCATCTTAGACAGAGGCAGCGGCTGCTCTTGGCAGAAGCTGCCCCATGTCTCACTGGGATGATGGAGCACGGATATGCTCCACGTCACAGCCTGCTTGTCAGAGGCAGTGTCGGGTAGAAAAGCTGCTCCTCTGTCCCTAGCAGCTGCTCGGAACTGTGGGGGAAGGAGGTGAGGAGGAGGGTGAACATCTGGGCTCAGTAAAGCCTGACTCAGCCCATGTCGCTTGGCTCATTGCGCTCACATGGGCACCCCATATCTGTTACCTTGCACTTTTCTTGTCACTTTCATGGAAAACAGATGTGGAATGTCTTGTTACTTAGATTCAAAGTGCCACTTCTGACACGAGGCCATGGCTTAAGATGATGTGGCAAGCAGGAGGCAGCAAATGTGTTATGATGTGTGCACATTCCTAATTAGCACTTATACATTTTCTTCATTTCAGTTCTTGTGAAAGAGCTTAGAGCTTATAATCAGCCAGACACTTAATCTACTGATTAGCAATTGCTTCACATATGCTATTGTATAGTTTCTATAGGTCTCAATTGTCTCAATTATTCATTATTTAAAAGTCAAAAATAATCAGATTATACAGAAATCTTAGAAGAAGAAGAAACTGATGGTGTATTTGCAGCTTTCACCACCATAAATTAGAAGACCTCAATGCACTGCAAGTGGCATGCTGAGCTCTCAACAGGCAGGAAGGATGCTGTTGAGAAATCAGAGGACACAGTGAAATAGCCCTTCATGTAAGAAGCAAATGCAAAACACCTGGGTCTTCAGTATAAAGGTTTTTCTCTGGCATAACATGGAAACAGGAAAGGCAAATGATAATTGATGAAAAACAACAAAAAAGACACAGGTTCCAGGAATTTTGCATTAGATAAATGTGATTTGTAGAGCTCACATCAATGCAATATAATCCTGGCTATTTGGAAACCTGAATTTCCCCTTTGATGGGCTTGTTTAAATTCCCAAGGATTGGTGTGCTTTTCAAGTATTACTATAATTAACATCCACTCTTTGGAGACCAATAAGGGCTTTGGTTGCACTTTTAAAAACTTGTATGTGAATACTCTTGTTAGTAATTTTTTCCATTCCATCTCATGCGTTTTTTGCTTATGAAGCACTGATGCCTTGTTTTGTAGCCATAAAGAACTGTTCCAAGAATAATAGTTTTTTAGAAAATTTTTCATTCCAGACTTGTTGCCCTTAGAGAATTTAAAGCTTCCCCTTCTGCCTTCTGTTCCCAGTTACTGAGCTACATAAGGTAATCCAGAAAGAAGCTGGACCAGAATTTCAACAATTGGCACTATGTAAGGGGATGATATTTTCTTCACCTATGCTATAAACTTCACAATAAAAGCTGTCTACAACAAATGGTGAACCTATGCTAACACAGAAATCCTTTCCACAAAATGCATGGATTTGACTGCTTGCTTCAGTCTGACTGATATTACCCTGATTATACCTGTCAGAAAGAAGAAGTTGGCCTGATTTGACATCTTGTTACTGAAGCCCATGAATTTCTTCAAAATGTGAACAGTCTACCTGCCTCCAAATGAAATTCAAAATTGCACAAGTATAATAACAGCTATAAATATGAGATAAAAGCAACAAAAGATTCTTGGTTTTGCTTTTTATGCTGAAGTTTTATAAAAACATAGTCTGTAAACAAAAAACTCAAATTGGTTCTGGAGGGAAAATTAGGCAGAATCTGACCAATTTTGCACCTGAGAAAGGCATGAGTTTTTTTCATCTGACAGTTCTGTGTTAGCTAGCACCCATTTAGTACTCCATGTGAGTCTAAACAGAGGTGAATAACTACAGATCCATTTTTCCAAAATATACTGGATTTAGGTAAGAAATACCTACAAGGTGTGGACTACCTTGTAGTGGTAGTCCACAGCCTTAGGCTACTCTGGTTTGGTCCAGGGCTGTACCAGAGAGCACAGTGACTCCTGAGCCAGAGGAGTCAGGATTCTGCTGGAACCAGTGCTGCCAGGGTGGAGGCTGGCATGCAGATGTTTGCACTGATCTATATTTTCCAAACCCTGCTGGTAGCAGGTGCCTCTGTGGGAGTCCATGCTCATGCTCACACTCATCCCCACAGTAAAACCAAGGAGCTTTCACAGGAGTAAATCCCCCTCCAATCTTGACTCCTTCCCTCTTCCAAATACACAGGCTCAGTGTTTGTTTGCTTTGCGGTGGATGGTGAAAAACCACTGTTTGTTTTTTGCCCAGCTCAAACGCCGTGGTCAGGGCGGGGAGGACAAACCTGTATGAGCTGCGCGGCGCTCTCGGGGCTGCCGTAGCGGTGGTCGTGCCCGTTGATGGCCAGCACGCGGTCGTTCTCCTGCAGCTGCCCGTCCCGTGCCGCCATGCCGCCCTCCAGCAGGTTGAAGATGAACACGCCCGGCTCGTCGGCCTTGCGGACCAGCTTTATCCCCAGCTGCTCATCCGGGCTGCTCTTGTTCAGCACGACGTGGAAGCTGTCGTCCCTGTTGCAGTGAGCATCGAGCGAAAGGCCGCTGTTGCGGCACCGGTACCTCTGCTCTCGCAGCACCGTCAGGCGCAGCACGTGGCACGGCTGCTTCAGGACCGACAGCGCGTAGTTGTGAGGCACATTTTTGATGTCCATGCCGTTTACCTGGAATAGAGAAGTGTAAATCAGCAGCAGAAAGACGGTCTGTTCCAAGTTGACACTGAAGAGGGCAGATCTAGATACACAGATGTCTTCATATGAAGTGACATGTGCTATTTCAAACTGTGTCACACACGAGGCCAAGTTTGTGGTGCAGAACAATCTTCCCCGCAAGGAAAGGATGCGCTGCACAGACAGTTTCTGTCCTTTTTCTTCCCCTCGCTCCCTGATAGTCTCTAGACATACATGCTAGTTCTCATCTTTCTTATTGCTCTTTCCCAAGCTTCAATATCCTTTCATATATCTTAGTTTTATTCCACAGGCTTCTGATTTCAAATTGCCTTGCCAGCCTTTCCTTTCACTCCCACTGTTTTCCTGCTGTTTCTTTTCTTCTTTATCTCCCAGCTGTTCTAGGTACAGCAAAAAAAATATTCTTCACTAATGAATCTCTAACTACAAAGAAGGAAAGAGCCTCAAGTAGAAGTTTAAATGCCTTGGATATTTACTAACAATTACGCTGATTTACCACACTAGAGAATCAGACTTTCCTTTTTTTCCCTCAGTGTTTTCCAGGTAAGATTTAATTCAGATGAGAATAAAACTGTGTAACTACCACTTTTTAAATTTGAATGAGGAAAAGAAAGAGGAAAAAAGAGTTTCCAGTCAATCCCATCATGTTCGTATGTGTAAGAGTGACTAGGCATTGCACTTTATATTGCTAAATGAAAACCAGTTGCAAGATTGTATTTCATCGCTGGCTAGAAAACCTGAATCAGACGAGATATTTCCATGTAGCTTTACATTGCACAGGTTGAACCATTTAAGTATTAAGAAACATCTCCAAAATGTAAGAGAAATAATCCCCAGCACAGACAAAGGCATTTGGCTGGTGTTTGCTTTTGCAGATTTCCTATGTGGGAACAACGAGGCTGTTCTGCTGCAGTCTGGTGGGGAGGACTGCACCCAGAGAGACAGCTCAACTAGCTTAAGTTGCTACCTTGGGTACCACAAACAGCATGAGCTGCACCAGGATGGGGCTGAAATTCACAGGAATCCTTGGTAAATCCTGGGCAGTCAGCCATGGCAGGGAAGAGCCAGGCTGGGCCCATCCGTGCCACAGTCACAGCTTCATTGTGCAGTTTGGATGTGCCCTGCAGGAACAGCTTTGTCTTAGTGGTGCCATTAACTCTGCTGCTCTGTGCTGGCACCAGGACAAAAAGGCTCCCTGAAACACATAGCTGGGTGTGCATGCTATGCAGCTGCTGCTGGGAATCACCATCCAGAAGCATTTTTATTCACTGCTAGAGTGAAGTATGCCCACATTGTGATCCCTTTCCAAAGGGAAATCCCTTTGGCCAAGTCTGTCTGACATAAAGCAGAAAGCATGGCACAACCTTGGCATGCCTCAAGTGTCCTCAGGTACCAGTGGTATCAGCAAAAGCTAGGAGATCATGGTGCCTTATAGGTGGTGCTCTGAACTTCAGAACGGCTTTCTGCATGCAACTTTGCAAATCTCATCGTGATCGACTTCAGCCATCTCATTCTTTGTCAGGATATTTTTATCTCCTACCTCCACAGGACTGTACCTTTAGTATCATGTCTCCAGGCAGCAATCTTCCATCTCTGGCAATCACCCCATCTCGATAAATGTGCTGTATAATAATGTGAACCAAAGGGGTCTCACTGCCCCCCACGATCCTGATGGCCAGACTTTCATGGGGATCGCTGCGGCTGATCTTAATGCAGGTAATCTCCCCATCTGGAATCAGGTGGTACAGCCTGGGAAAACCTGGAAATGCATTTGTAAGGTATTTATCTGACAACTCAGCTTTGCTTTGTTGAAACATGCAGCGCACAACCTCAAGTACCTGCTAGTTAGTCAAGCTAGGTTTTATGCATGTATATGATTCATACCAAGTGGGAAGAAAAGGATAGATAAGCCTGCTGAATGGACTTGAAGGGAACTTTCTACAATTAATATATTCAAACTTCCTCTTTCCCCCACAAAATACAGCCTTAAACCTCTGATGTAATCCAGACAGATGAAATGTACTTACAGTTATACACAACATTTTAAGGAAATTAAATACATTTTTGGTCACCAGAGACACATCAGAACCAGGCCACAGTTTCTTGCTGGTCTTAGAACAGATGGGCATGGGCACCTCAGCAAACATCCATCCCTGCTGCGCTGGCTGTAAACCCTATCTCACTGGTAGCATCCCAGACTGCCCTGTTTTCTCCATTTTTGGTGTCACAGTGGAGGACAGGGCTCTTGTCTTGTGACATCCAAGGAAGCCTTTAATTTATCTTTAGCTACCAGAAAGGTAACAAACCAAAGGTTTGGACAAACCAAAGCACACAGTAGTTTCCCTACTAGACCACTCTCCATTCATCGCTGCCTGAACTCTAGGAAGTAGGAATGAGTGACTCTAACTGTGATGTGTCAATTAAAACCACAGTATGCTCAAAGTACCTGGAGGGAAAGATCTCTGCTGGCCCAGGCAATCTGGCTGTGGGGAGGAGGGACTAACAGTGGGCAGGGGTCCTTTTTGTATTTATAATGCACTGGATTAGAGTATCATCTTCCAAACCCTACTTTTCAACTGGCATGTCTGATTTCACAGCATGTCACTAATACTTTCTTTTCTTCTAGGTCAATTCAAAACTTTAATCCATATTCAGCAGTGAGTAAAGTAAAAGCAGCAGTGAAATTTCCAGCACAGGCATAGCAGCCTTCAATTATTTTGAATTCCCCAAAGCTGAGAGAAAGCATTTAAACTTTTTGCATGTGAATCCAATCCAGTGGTTATATGACAAACCTGTAAGTCAAAAAATTAACTGCTAATATTTTTTTCAATAACCTATTTTAGAAATGAAAGTATGAGTGTTAATAAATAGTAGTTAAGTGAAAAATGAAACTTTATAGACCAGAATCTGAGATAGAATTAATATTTGCTCCTACAGAATTAGCAGGCAACAAACCAGCAAGGCACCAAAACCTTTTGAGAGAGTGCAAGGGGAAAAAAAGAACAGGAAAAATATATTGAGAAACACCATGTTGCATCCCTTACCACTTCTTTGATCATATGCTCTTCAGGGTGGGAAGCTGTCCTCCTCCACGTCTGTAAAAAGCACCTACCAGTAGCACAGACTTCGACTTTGTGGTTTTACACAGACTTGACAGGCAATAAAAGTCTGTCTAGATAACTACACAGCCTTCACCAACCTAATACTCAACCATTTATTCTTGTAATAGTAGTTTCTGTGCTAATACAGGTTTACTTCAGTTTTGCAGGCAACTTTAACATTTCAGGAATGGAAGGTGCTTCATTTCCCCCACGCTCCTCTATTTTCTAAATGCTATTTGCTCAGCTTGTAATTTGCTCCATTCTCTCTAGCCTGAAGGGTGGATTCACATGATCTAAATCCAGGCCTCAAATGCACAGTTTGGTGATCTACTTGCTCTGACTTCCTTTGCAGTGCACAGGCACCCAAAGAGAGCGATTCCCATGCTAAATCACCCCTGGAGGTGCCAAATCTCCACTGCAGTGTAAGAGAAGAGGCAATTAACTCTGGCATCTCAGTGGGGTGGATAATACACTTAAAGTTGGACAATACAAACACTCCTCAAAAATCACCAATGGCCTGACCCCTGCATGCACATTTCAGCGTGCCTATAACAGTTATGTGTTAAGGGTTATGTGTAAGGGTTATGTGCAAAAATAGAGATGAAAATCCAGACACCTAGATCTTCCCTGCATGCAAATAAATTAATATACATGTATATATTGAAGATAACAAAACAGTGCTATAATAGACCTATTATGATGACTCAGTTCACATCCTAACAAACTATGCTTTTTGACACTGATGTTCATTTTCCCTTAGCTCATTCTGAAAACCCTTCTAAAGGAATTATTCAGTTGTATTTCTTGCCCATGGAGAATTGTATACTGAGCAGGCTATTGACACTCTCATGTTATTTCAACCTGCAATTATCCCAGACCAAAATCAGGGCAATGTGGCAGTGAACACGTCTCTACTCTTGTACAAGATTTACCTACATCTTTACATATGTATAGGTTTCTTTGCATTTTGAACAATGCCTTATCTGGTTTGTTAAGTCTTGCACTAGTATTTGGCTGACTTTCAATATGGCTTTATGCAGATTTTTTAAGATGAATTTTTGATATCTAATTTCCTTCTGAAATGTGCAGTCTACAACAACCCAAATCTTTCCAAGACATTTTTCTTTTGCCAGTCTGCAAGTCTCTAATGTCACCCTTTCATAGTTAGCAGGCTGTACTGCCTCACTTCCTGTCTTCATTTGACTTGTGTTCTTTATCAAATATACATAATAAACAGAAATATTTTCTCCTCAGATGAGCTAAGCAACCAAAACAATTCCTTTATGAACCATTAATTTCTGCTCTCTTAATTGAAGACTTGCCTGTTCTTTTCATCCCAGACATTTGTATTCTCAACAACCTAGAATGTCATAAGTAAAAGGCCAATTTTGATAAACTAACCTATTTACCTAATGCCTATTTTGATAAACTAACAGTAAGTGTGGCAATCTAAATATATAAAGTACACAAATACACTTTTAAAAAATAATATGAATAAGAAAATTCATAATTGCTTTTTCACCAAAAAGTCTGCATACATTGTGTGCAGTTTGATGAAAACTTACCATGCATATTTCATGATGATTCCATGTCTAGAAAGCAATGTCTTCAAATTGAATTATTAATGCATAGACCATACCCAGAAAAGGTAAAACCCTGGTTTAGAACACAGTTGCATACAATGACTGGGGGCTTAGGAACCCAATTGAAGGAACTCCAACTGAGTTGAGGGCTTGTACCTTTCAGATATATATATATTCTGTTGTGAGGCTGGAGTATCACTTTCCACAGACTCCATTTTCCAGCCCTTACACTCTTATTTAAAATTCTCCATTTTCTTTGGTCAGGTTTTCCAGAGCAGGAAAACCCAGGAGTATTGCATACCTTTCTTTACCATTTTATATTTCCAGTCCTTAAATATCGAAGAGCTGCTGAATCTAGAGAGAAGGAAACTTTCTGTCTTGTTTTTGGTGATTCTTCCAGGTTTTCCCACAGAATGTTGTGTTTTTGTCACGGGGGGTTGTATGGAGCATTCTGAATCTGTTAATATAATAAAATGTCACCTGCATTCAGAAAGACTGTGTGGGCTTTTTTCTCAGGCAGTATTCTCTTAATATTAGTGTGCAATGTTATCAATACTTTCACACATTACTTTATTGTAAACAACACAAGAGAGACCAACTTTGCACATTGAACTCCATTTATGTGGCACAATGTGGGACACTGAGCATTTGTTACTTAATGGCCATGACAGAGAATTACAAAATTTTAAGTATGCTTACTATTTTTCCCCACAGTTTATAATATTTAATGGTAGCATTCTTCTACTGCTCAGGTTTCTGCTGACTTCTGTGCACATCATGCTCCTTCCAACAGTGCTGCCACGAGGGTAGCTTCTGCCTTCATTCCCAGGACTCGGTGTGACAATGTGCAATGTTTGCTGTGACTCTTGGGGCCAGATTAATCAAAGGTCACTGTAAACAAAACTTGTATCTGTGGTTGCAAGTCCTCATTTAGATCAGGCAGCCTGGGTAATGTGCCAGCTCACCCCCACAAACAGGACCATCTGCAGCAGCACACATTCATCCTTCCCAGCATCTGGACACCAGAATTTAAATAAAGCTTGTGTAACCTAGTCTTGGAAAATTAATGTGTCTGTAAGTATCACATGCCCTTGTGCTGGTGGGGAACTTTATTCTGCAAATTTTCCTTCCCAATAGATTTTCATTTATCATGCCATCCTTCCAAAGGTTTGCCATCATTTTGATTTAATGCCTTCCATAAATTCTCCAGTGATGCTTCTCCAATGGAGGGGCAGGTAGAAGGTGATGCCAGTTCTAATTTCTCTTCTTGCTTCTGGACATTCCTCTCACCAAAGGAGTCCCAAAAGAACTAAAATGAAACTGTTGCTGAGTTGACTGTGCATCTAAAGAGTTGTGACTCAAACACAGCAGGGAAATTCATCAGTCTGCAGTAGAGGAAGTGCTACAGAGACAATGTTTCTTCGGGAAATTGCCTGGCTCATTGTTCCAGAGCAGAGTTCTTTGAACCAGTTCTGTAACAGCTGCTTTGGGATATCAGAATGGCAGCTGAATCAAATCTGAGAAAAATAGGAACAGTGTGGGATTTCTGTGAGGTGCAGCCTTCCTGAGACAGAGGTTGGGCTGTGCTGTCTTGTCCTGGGGCTGGATAAACCACTTTTTTCTGCTCACAGGGAGCCTTAATGCCATGAAATGGTTGATACCATCTGTGTTTCACTTACCTTCTTTTTCTTCACGTACTTTTCCAAACACTGAAGTATTTATATTATCTATCTATCTATCTATCTATCTATTATATATATGTATGCATATTTATATATCTCAAAAATATAACAGGGTTCACACTGAACAGTGCAAGAGGGAAACCTGTTCTGTGCTCTGTGGTTCTGCCAGTGCCTGCTGGGGCTGCCCTGGTCTTGACTGCTGCAAAGCAATGCCAGATGGTAGAACTGCATCCACTATGAGACTGAGTTTGACTTTGAAAAACATTTGCCATCCTCAAGGAATCCTAAATCAAATTTCTTTTACAATGGCTTGACTGCAAAATGAAATCAATGAACATTTTTGGAAGTCAAAAGCAGAGCTCTTTTACTCTAAAACTGTAAGGAAGTTTATAAATTGTACCTGCAAATTCTTTGCTCCTAAAACATTACCTGGTTCACAACTTGTATTTGTAGATCAGTTTGAGTAAAGAGTACGTATATATCTATAGACCTTCTTGGAACTGAATTTAAGGTGTGAAGCCAAACTAAGAGCACAGTGATACAAACAAGCATAGCAAAGCTGGAGCACTCTTTGTTTGGAGATATTTTATCATTTAAAAAGATTGTCAAGGTCATTTACACTAGTAGATCTAGTCAGAAGATATTACGTCTTAAATGCATCCGTGCCTTAAGCATGTCCCTGTCACCTTCCCTCACATCTCAGTGTGAAATTATTTCTTTTAAACTTTCTAAACTTCTACTTCAGACCTGGAAAGCTATTTGTAGCTGTAAATGCTGTTAATGAAATTGCTCTCGGATAAATATCACAAGCTTGGGTGCTGCCTGCAGACAAATATTTCTTGGCATGGGATTTTACAAATAACAAAGTATTAAAAATAAGAAAATCTTAACAGTTCCTTCCCCTTAAATATTTTCTCATTAGTGTTTGTACTTTTCATTCACCTCTAACATTTTCTTTGGTTTAGACATTTAACAACTCTCTACTGAAAATGCCACAAAAACACAGAAACAAAGAAAGCCCGAATCATTTAAATCCAAAATGAACACGTATTTTTTAAACAAATGAAACCACAGGATATAAACATAAATCATGAAGCAATCTCTGCAGTTCAGGATGGCTACCAGCTCCAGATATAAGGTAGCGTTAGACTGTAACTATTTCTTTGCTGTAATTATAACAGAAACACATTTGATATTTACACCATATTATCCAATGTCCCTGGGTGTCAGTTTTTCCAAAACCTGTTCTAGATTCAGTTTCAAGTTAAGAAGAATTTGAATGCTTTTTCTCCCCCATCAGAAACCATTATTTTGTCTTGTACCCTCACAGTCATATTGCAACTGAGCACTGGCTCAACCAACATAGCAGCTTCAGGTTAAATGCACCCACACACCCTTAATGAAGGGTCGCTGAGGGCTAATACATGGCTACTTGTTATGGTGTTCATTCCCAGAGCTCCTTTGACCAAAATACAGGCAAAACAGATTAAACAGAGACATGTGAATTGAGATGGGGGTACACTGAAAACTGGAATCAGATGAATTATACATTGAGCTTTGCCCGATGATCTTACCTCTCCTTTATCAAAAAGAGGTTATCAGCAAGAAGGGGCTCATTCACTCTGTGAGGCTGGCATAGTCTCAGCTTTATTCTGCTCATGCACTGACTAAACCCGGTGAGGAAAATGGTCACCAGAGAGGTGGTGAAGCGCTGCCTGATCTCCTGGGACAATGAGTCATGGCTCAGTTCTTTTCACAGATGGTCCCAGACACAAACCTGTGAAACTTTGGGAAAGGCAGCAGCACCTTTCCCACTGGCTGTGGGTATCTCTGAAGTGAGGAACCACCTCATTGATCCCCACAGGAGCACCCCCATTCCCAGGAGAGTGGCGTGGCAATGGTGAGACAGATACACAGGGCTCCCTTTTCTGTGTGACTCTCAGTGGGCACAGGGCAGAGCATACAGCAGCTATCCCTGAAGGCTGACCAACAGCTCTGATCAGAAGTCTAGCTGCAGAGTGCTCAGAGCAGCTGAGGTTTAAAAAAATAAATAAAAGAAGAAAACATACAGAGCTGGAGAAGAAAACCAGCCCCCAGCTGGCAAGATGATGATAACTGCTACAGAAAGAAGTACATTCATTTCCTCCTCCAAGAAGAAACAGAGAAAGCCTTTGAGATGCCATTACACAAAGCACCTGTTGCAAAGGACTGAATTGCAATCTTTGTTCAAGTTGTATTTGTATTTCTTCAAGTTACTTGCTTGCATTTTTTAAAGATCAATTTCCAGAACAGTGTATGAACAGGCATTCTTTGCAAATGTAATTAATAAAGTAATTTAGGTATCCAGCTTCTGTGATCTCATACTTAAGAGAAACTGCTTATTAAGTAATTATATGCCTACCTGGTTTTTCCAGTGCAGCAGAATACATTTGGAAGTTTAGAGGCGTGCTGGGTGCAGAGGAATGAAACCACAAGCAGACCCAAGGAGAGACTGACAATCCTGGCACTGTCAGTGGGGCCCTGGAGTGATTGCCATTACACATCCCTTACAGAGACAGCAATGTTTTTCACTTGCTGGGAATGTAAAGGCCAGTGACATCTTCACACATTTCTGCTAACTTCTGCTAACACCTGGACTGCACTGGGCTACTGGATAGGTGCTGCTGACATCCAGATTATTTGCACACCCTGGACATGGAACCAAGAATTCAATGGAGCTATTACTAAGTCAGCTATATGTCTAGGTGGAAAGTGGTCTGTATATCATCCTGAAGGGATGTCTTTTGAAAAATATGAACTTGAGGCATGGAGAATTTCACTCCTAAAAAAAAGGCAAGCTTTTGCTCACAGTGAATTGAAGTGTTACTATGGAACAAGAAATCGATCTGCCTGCTCAAACAGAGATATAAACAACTTGTAAAATTTTGCTTGGGAAAAAAAGAATATTATTTTTAATAATAAAAATGATTTAAAATTATTTTAAAATATAGTAAAATTATTCAGGATGTTTCCAGGTCAAGGAGTATATTCCCATCCCTTTTATGGAGAAGGTTCACAATTTTGAATTACCAGGTATGATTTTGGCTCTGTCAGCAATATGTGAAGTAGGAGAGTAAGTACCACAGTAACATAGTGAAACTCTCCTGAAAGAATGAGCAAACAAAGCAGAAGAATATTGAACATGGTTCTCCAATTCACCACTACTCACAATGGCATCACAATGATGCATGAAACTAGCATTTGGCAGCCTTTTGTGCTTATTTTGCGTGTGTTTCAATGAGAACTTGAATACAGAGCAAAAGGAAGCTGGGTATTTTGTATTCTTAAAGCCTGCATTCTGAACATTTGATCTGGGAAGAGAGTTGAGGTGCTGAGGCATCAAGCAAAGGAATAATAAGGTGAGTGGAGACCTTGATTAAGACATTGATTCCCACTCTATCATCACTTCCTCTTGATGCATGAATGCCATTGTTGGTTTCATAATTATGGTCCAAACTGATTAGTAACATTTGCTTATTGCTTTGAGAATGCCAAATGTTGTGTGTTATTACCTGCCAGACCCCTCATCCCTGACATACCTCAGACAAACTTGCCTCTCCCTGCTGTTTAAGAGCACAGCATTCTTACCTCATCACCTGCCTGGCTGAGGTAATAAAGGAGCCCACAGAAATGCAGAATAATTACAGTACTTCGCACTTCCATACCATCCTCCCACTGGGGATTTCCAGTGCTTCATAAGCATTAGCCAAAACTCATTAAGTTCTTCTCAAGTATGATTACTGTGATCCATTTGCTTTAGAGGGACAGGCACACGCCGATGGAGAGACTTGCACAAAATTACAGAGCAAATCAATGACAGCTCCAGTAACAGATCCCAGATGCCCAGATCCCACATCCCGTAGGCTAGATCTGGGCTGGCTATAGCATGCAGGCTGTTACCAGAACAGCCCTACGTGAGGTCCCACACACCCCAGCAATATTCTTGCCTGCCAGTCAGTAACATCTTCTGAAAGAAGAAAATAAGGAAAGATTGTGTTTTCTGGTTTGTTTGTTTTAATCAGGCACAGCCCACCACATGAAAGGCACGTCAGTCATGGATATCCATCTCCCACATGGACAGGGCTCCCCACCCCCTTTTGAGTGATAACACAAGATGAACCAAACATTACCTTCCTCTCCAGCAGCAGAGTTTCCAACAGTCTCCCTTTCCCGGTCAGTTTGGTTGGAAACAGCACTTCCACTTTTTGTCCTTCGAAGAACACTGAACGCTTTGTTTATTTTTTTAAAAGATCTGCTTCTTATAGTGGAACGTTCAAAGTGTCGAGCTGCAACAGCAGGAAAAAACCCAAATCAGTACAGTTCAGCAGCTCTGCTCTAGAACCACAGCATTTCTGAAGCCCCTGGCATACCAACATCAGGGCTGCCTGTACTTCACCTTTGCCCCCGAGTCCTGCTGGTACTTCGAGGCTGCACCCACCTGAATCTGGGTACAATCACCCTACCTCAGTCCCACACCCTCGAATTGCCTCCTTCCTGTCTGTTTTGCTAATCACATGGAGAAATCTCCTGTGAGTATGGTAGCTTTGGAAAGAATAATCCTCCATCAAGACAGAATTAGGAGAAATTCTGTGAAAAATACATATTTTCTCAGCTATACATGTTTGACCAAAAAAAGCTGGAAGTCATTAAAAATTCTTCTTGACAAAATCCCCACTACTACTTCTGTCTCAAAACCTTGCAATGCTTCTAAAGCCACCAATGATTGCCAACTGTTTCATGTAAAAAAATTCAAATATTATCATCAGGTGGGAGGGATCAAAACCTCACATATTCTGACTCGGATACAGCAATACAAAAGAAAAGTCATAATACTTTCAAAACATGTCACTCTTTTCCATCCTGCTAAAGATAGCTCATAGCTGTGGCTGTTCTGTGTGTTCCAGCTCTGCATGCTAGCCAAATATTGTAATCTAATAATATAACATTCCCTCAAACCAGACTGTGGCCTCTACACTCAATAAAACTGACAGAATTTATTGAGATTCTGGTGCTCTCTTCTTGCACCCTTCCTTTCCTCACCTCTCCAAACCCTGGCACAACAAATGGATAATGCTTCTCATTTCCTAGTCTTTCTTCATCCCTTCATCCATTTTCCCCATATGCAACTGGCAGCGCACAAGGTGGGCTTTTTCCATTTTAGCTTCAGAATCCTCAAACACATGCTTTGAACTCACCATTAACACTTCTGACTCTGCTTTGGCCAGGCCCTGTTTTTCAAGCATGACACTCACCAGAGACAGGTGAAGTGTCACAAGGTGAAAGATCAAGGCAAAGTCTCCTGATGCATCTTGTCCCTGACTGTTGTTATTTCAGCAGGACCAGCTCCTCCAAACTACACCTTCCCAAGAAGCTGGCAGATGTTTCCCAGGCTCCTAAGGGTATGTTTTCCTGAAAATACTTGGCAAGTGGGAAACACAGTTCCCAATAGGATTTTGGGTAGGTGCCCATGTCTGTGGGCATTACTTGGGCCACCAAGATTTAGTGGAGACACATTACCCAGCTACACCATCTCCCCAGCCCATCTCACATAGCATTTAATCTTTTAACTGAGCTGACTTACCTAAATAATCTTTCTAAAGATTTGCAGTTTACATGTGTACAGCTAGTCCGTTTTCAGCTTGATCCCGCCCCTGGCCAAGCCATTTTTTTTTACCTCAAATCTATTGGGTCACTGAGTGTGCAATTTGATAAACCATGCAAAATGAAAGCTTTCACTTCCCCCACCCCTTTTTCTTTTTTTTTATTATTTTTTTAATCCTCCAGTGACACATATTTAACATAAAAATGGACGTTGCAAGGGGCTAGCAGGCCCTGAAGCTGCCATTTTTGGCCCTTACTCCGGTTGCGGTTGCTGCGGTGCAGGTCCCCGGGGCTGCTGCCCAGCTGGCTCTCCTCTGAGGTGGGGCTGAAGGCCGGGTTCACCAGCCCCGGCTCGTCTGTCATTAAGGCGATGGCCGCAGCTGCTGAGAGCTCAGGGCCCAGGGCAGCCACTGCCAAGCTGGAGCCACGGTCTGGAGAGCAGTCCTGGGAACGCCTCTTCCGTTCCTTGGTAAGGCCATAGTGGGATGCTCCTTTACATCTGAGGAGAAGGGGGGAAAGAGAGACATGATGGCAAGTTGTGTTTAAATACTGCATACTTAAGGACATTCTCTGGTTCCAAGGAAGTGCTTGGAGTACAACCTGTGATGATCATGTTGACCAGTGAAATATGGATGGAACAAGAGGGAAAAGGCCAGTGTGCGCTTCAAAGGAGGTGAGTTACTACCTTACATGGGAAGAGCACTGCTGGTCAAGGAAAAATAGAGAGCCTCAGCCTTGTGTATATTCTTATGTGTATAAATTGTTACTGTGGATGCAAGAGGACAAGAATAGCAGGTGGCTAATTAAGCCAGAGGCTACAATCTATAATTTCCTACTTGCCTGTGATTGTTGAAGGAGAGCAGGGTGAGGCCTGACCCTTCTCTGGGTCTGCTAGTAAAAATAAAAGGCACCTTACCCAGTCCTGCCTCCTGAAAAACCCTCCCAGCCACCAACGTGGTCACATGTGGAGCATGGCACTGTGTCTGTAGAGACCAGAGCAACCCATGAAGGGAGGGCTGTAGGTGGGAGCGGGACACTTGGGGGCTGCAGGAATCCAGGCCCCAAATGGTGCCTGTACCGACCATTTACTACTCGAACTGAGTCTGATGAATTGTTTTCAATTCAGCCACAGAGGTGAAGTTGCCAACTCTGCAATTCCAGCTCTACTAAACATGCCTACTAAAACAGGCAGGTCATTGCCTTGGCAGAAGAAGAGGTGCAGGTGGGGGTAGGGGGTCCCACTGACCCTGCAGCCTCACCAGGGTCAAGGGGGGACTGCAGAGCTCCCACCAAGGGGCTGGGGCCTCATGCCAAGGTCCTTGGGCCAGCCTGGGACTTCACCAGCTCTGGGACCTCAAGGCAGGTTCTGAACTACTTCTGGGGGAAACCCCTCTGTTTCTCGTGGAGCAACACATGTTCCCAAAAGAGCTGAAGATACAGCATTATAAGGGCAAGTTACAAACCTGCTTTGAAACACACGCAGTTATGCTTCCAACTACCTGCTCTAGATTCACCCTAGACTGCAAAGGCAGGACCATGCATGGCATTTCTTTTTTAAGACTCATGAAAGAAAGTCACTTGAATAAAATTAAAGGTCATTGTAGTCTTCATGAGTCAGTATTCAATTAATGCTATAAAATAACTGAAAAGACAGAGTGACCAAGGACACGGCACCTGTGACTTCATCAGCACCACTTCTGCCCAGTGCCCACCCACTAGAACCACATTCAGTGCATTAAAAAAATAAAACTCTGCCTTTTAATCATAATCTAATGAGCTTGGCCTACTTTCAGTTACTATTGTCCCTTTCTTCATGGTGAAGGCTAACTGATGACTTTCATGAAAGTGCCCTGTAGGACAAACTCACAGAAATAGCTGCAGAAACCCTTAGGGATAGAAAGATCTTTGTAATATATGGCATGCTCAAAAAGCAATGCATAATACATACAGTACACAACGCTAGTGGGTTAAGTGTCACAAAAAGAAGTAGTACACTGAACAGAAGACTTGGAAGAGAAGTGATTATGGAAGCACCTCCTGAGATAGAAAGATGATATGAGGATATCATTGAGCTGTCTATCAGCTTCAGAGTAGCAGTTTAATTTCTATCATAGTACTGACTTTTGATGAGACAATTAATTAGAACCTTTTTTTGGCACTAGATTATGGTTTACCATCATTTACTTCATGCTGCTTTTGACAACTTTTATCTCAAAGAAGGAAAATATACTCAAACCAAAATCTGTCATATTGATGCCACTGTGTAAGGGTTATGTATGTGCTTTAAGGCTTGGATAGGAATGGCTGTAACAGAAGTTATTTCTGAAACTTTTCACAAGCAAAATGAGGCATCTCAGAGGAAAGTACTCTTATGGAAGAGAAGATTGGCCAACTACTTCAAAAGACCAATGAACAAGATTGGTCAACTACTTCAAAAGACCAATTTGAGGCACCCATTGCAAGGCAAAACTGCAACAATAGTCATGAAAAGAACGGAAGAACTCTCCTGCCTCCATTGCAGCAGGTATTTTTCTGTTTCCTTCCAGATTTTCTCACTTCCCCCAGAACCCTAAACTATGGCAGGATGCTCTCCTTTAGATTTCATGGGAAGCAGAAGCACAAAGGCCTTTTCCTCTTGCTACTCACCTAAACATCTTCATCACAGTGTTTTGGAAACCCATCCTTGACATCTGCCTCTTTTAGTAAAGTCACATCTGCTAATCCAGCCTATGAATGCTTGACAAAATAGTTTAGAAATAGCCTAAAAACCCAGCACAAAGAAGCGGCTTTGGGGAGAACAGTTTGCTGCTCTCAGAAGACAGTCTCTACTTTATAACAATCTTGCAAAGATTCAGAATATGATAAGAGATATTCCTACTCCTGTTTATTTTATTTAATTTGCCTGTGTTTTTCCCGTGTCAGTAAAGTTTCAGTGGCTGATACTAGAACATCAGCCTTGTGAATGGGTTCTCAGATGCAGATGTTTTTTTATTTGGAAAGCTCTATGAAGATCAATATGAAGACCAGAAGTGGCTCTGCCCAAAGACTCCCAGCTATTTGGATTCAATCACTGCCTGGTGCCCATCTGCAGCTCACTGCTACAGCCTTCCCTCTCTGTGGAAATCCTCACTTGCTGCTGCTGGCTGCACTGCAGACACACAGTCAACAGCTTCATTCCAACAGCAATGAACAGAAGACAGCTACTTTGAATGTAGAGAGGACTGACACAGTTTAAGATGTGGCTTATTGGAGAAGACAAGTTGTCATGATACAAAGCACAAAGCATATCTTTCTAGCACTGCCAGAAATAGTTAAAGAAGAACCAGAGCTCTTCAAGTATGATCACTGAAGCTATTTCTTAAATAATTGTGGCAGGCATAAATGAACACAAATCAAGACCTCTTTCTTCAGATTAACACAGTGTCCTTGAAGAAGGGGAAAAAAGTCCCAAGACCTCAAACTTGTAATAAAATTTGCAACAGCATCTCTTCACTTTCATTGTTTTGCTTGTGCTGACACTGCTGTGATAACAGAAAACAGAAGAGATGACTGTCTAAGTGGAATCATATTTACAGTGTTTAAGCTACATTTTTCCATATGGTTGGATTTGGCTCCCAGAAAAGAGAGAAACATAAAACAGCTACATGCCAGCAGTAATTAGCTCTCTCACTGTGAGTATTAATCACAATGCCTGATTTGCAGCTGGAAGAGTGGGATACCTGATTAACATAGCCAGTCAGAAAGTGAACTCAGCACTGTCTGCAGGCCAAGGTGAACCACAGATTTATGTTCCTTCCCAGTCATGCTGGACAGCGAGTATATCCGTGCAGCCGTGTGATACTGAAACAATTTGAAGGCCAAACCCCAGAGAGATAAACAGACATGAATAATGTGTGTTATACTCTTCGTGACATTAGTGTCACTAGGTGCACAGGAAACTGAGAAAGTAGTTTCTTCTGTTTGCACAGCCTCTTTTATGAAGCAGATATCTACTGTCTGATATTCTAGTATAAGCTAACCACTGGGTGATATGAGAGCAGTGGTGGCTGCTGAAATTTCACCCAGGGCTGCAATTCTGGCTGGTATCAACACTGGCAGCCACGGGGCAATCTTTGCCCAGCACCCTGTTCCACACTTGAGGGACACACTGCACTCCAGGCTTCAGGAGCAGCACATCCCAAGAGCCAGAGCAAGGAGATCCAAAACCCTGTGGCAGCCTTAACTTGGTCCTACCATTTGTAAAAACAGCCTTCAGTTAAACTCAAGGCCAACAGAAACATATCCACGTCATTTAAAATTCAAATTAAAACCATGGTTTGAAAAGAGAGTTCTCCTTGCAGCATCCCTGACTTGCACAGCAAAGGAGAAATTGAAAGTAAGATTGACCTCAAAGATTTCAATTACCCAGGCTGACATAGGGAAAGAATGTAAAACCAAAACATAAGCAAGGACAACTGCATGGATTTTTTCACCTCACTTCTAGTGATCTAAATAGAACAATTCCACAGGTTAAAAAAAATGTATATGTTTGCCCATGGTAGGGGGACTGTAACTAGATGATCTTTATGGTTCCTTCCAACACAAACCATTCTATGATCCTATGATTTATCATGCATGTGTTCTTAAAAATGCCCCGCCTTCTGTGTCACTTCACAGTCTCTGTTTGGGCATGAAACAGGGAAAAAAAGTGAATCTGAAGAGTCACAGTGGTTGTGACCCAGGCTTGACACAAATAAACAGAGCAGGACCCCTCCCCTGCCCAGTTCCAGTAGTGTTTTCCCAACCTCACTTCCAGCACCCCTCATATTTTGGACTGCTTTTCTTTAGTGCAGAAGCAGCAGACACATTGTCAGAATGCAACTAAGAATAATGTATACAAAGCACATAAGATTGCCCATCCGAAGAAAATACTGCATAATAGGCTGTCATTGCTGTCCCACAGCTAAACCCTGATCAGGGTAGACAAGTGTGTTTCAGCTATGGTCTCACTGCAAGAAGCCTCATCCCTGTGTAATTTGGGGGTCCAAACAAGCTGGGGTCCAAAGCATCAACAATGTGTACCATACCTCTGTTCCACAAACTCCCTGAGTGCTCTAGCACCCATAAACTAATCCAGTGGAAAAGATCATGGAGAAACCAAAGCTGATCAACCAGGAGCATCCTGGATAACCTGGTGCTGATAACCTCACTTGTGACACCCTGGTGAGAGGTTCCTGCTGTGCCTGGGAATAAAGGAGGCATGGGGTTTAATTGGAGAGGCTGACTCACAAGAAGGTGTTGACAATTCCTGCCCCACAGGAACCATTCACACTGTGTGTGCATTAGCAGTGACAGCAGTCCAAACATAACCCAAAGCCCAACCACATGGATTTCAGGCCACACACTTAAACTCTGAAGTTTTCTCAAACTCCATCACAAGGGATGAAGAGACTGGATCAGTTCTTCAGACAGGATTAACACCAGCTCTTCTGATCTCACTTTTGCCAACAGTGCACCAAG